CAGCACGCCCAAATATATACCCCTACTAATGACCCACATACCAGCGCACACGCCTAAACAAACATAAGATACCGATGAGAGCATATTTTCCTGCTAATTACTAAGTCAAACGCAGGAAAATACTATTCACGCACTCACTCGTCTCATTTACCTAATCAGTTATTAAAACGACTGGACGATTGAACGAACAAACGAATGAATGGACTGTCGGAAGAATAGGTGGATGAAAAAGTGAATTTAGACTACAATGGATGGTCATACCTTATCTCTTCCTTCTCATTCACGAGCGGTTGAGCGGGGGGTTCCTCTCCCAAACAACAACACGTTGTAGCGGCGAATAAGTTGCCAGGTTCTGTTCCTATGTATTGATTACGATAGAAAAAACCTCGTATTCTGTGTAAGTGAAAGAAAAAATATGGAAGACCCGTTTTACTCTTTAGATTACGCAAGTTATTAGATAGAACCGAGGACTGACATAACCAAACTACTTGCACTTTTTGTTACAACATCGATAGACTACAAGCAGTCTCTCGTATTTCTTCTCAGTCCGTCGAGCGAAAAGCGCGATACACGAAAATGACCACGCGCGTGACTGAAGGCGCGAGACGCTATTTTTATCAATTCAGTGAAATTCTCAGTCGTCTTGATGCACCCGCGGTACTCCCTGTAGTCTGTAGAAATGCACTGGTAAGTGAAACAACATATGCAGAGGGGGAAAACGCGTTAACTAGTATCACTGTACTACAATTATTTTACATCTGATTGCTCTGTAATCATGATCAGCAATAACTAAGGTACCACCAGATGCACTATCCCTAGCCTGCGAAAACAAACGTTTTTCCTCGTTCATTGCCGCTTGGGAACGTTTCGCGAAATGTCCCCAGCGGCGAGCAGTGAGGAGAAACGTCTGTTTTCGCAGCCTACACTATCCCTAACCCTGCAATGATTTCTTATCCAAACTGGTTTTTCCCTGGCGAAGTGAGTTAATAATCACGTCGCGTGCGAAGCGCACGGGCAGTGCGTGGACTGCGCGTGGATCATAGCGAGCTGTAGCCTGCAGTGCAGGCGAATTCTTTGAGCGCGTAATTTGGTCGCGAAAGCGCCATGTTGAAACTTACCGAAGAGAGGAGGAGATGGGGCGAGTCAGTAAGGGTTACTATTTCTATTCTCCCCAATCTTCCACTGTCATAAAATCAAAGATGGCGGCTACAACAATATTACGAACACGAACAAGGTTTCGCCCACCCAAAATACGCCTGCACTGCAGGCTAAGCGAGCTGCAAACTCGCCGCGCCAATTTTTGTATACATGTATCCTGGGGGGACAAAAGTTGAGCGGTGAAACGAGCGTGATGGGAAGTAGGACGCTTTCGGTGCGATTGAAGGCCGGCGAAATTTTCTCTTTTGCAAACCAGAAATCCTATTTTCTTTCTGTAATTTCGGGCTACAATGGCTGCGGTCACATCTGGGCTACTAACTATAGTCAAGACGGGGATAGCTATAGTTAGCTATTTCGGTAAAGCAACTTTGGGACATTCCTGAAGTCGCGAATCCTTTATTTCGCGCTTCGCCAACGTAATAAAATATACTAGAGCATTAAAATATCAAAACGCAAAATACAGTTTCTGTCTTTTTAAAAGCCATAGAAAAATGAATGTTACGCGTGTACATATTAAGCACTGTTCCATTGGTCGAAATGGAAGATGATTTTTTTTTTTTCATTTTCTTCGTATGATGAAATTAGTACAATTATAATATTAATTACGTTCCATCTTTCGGAAAAAACAAACGAGCGAGATACACAAGCCGGAGACATTAAAACTGATCTTGTAATAATCTGAATAATACGTATATTTGCGCGCGATATATCTCTATTCTCAGGTTAATGACAAATGAAAACACGACACTAAGCCGTGTTCATTTTGGGTCGTAGCGAATTGGCTGAGGCCGTACTTGGCAACTTAAAGGAACAGTATCCCGTTACTGCGCACGCACCAAACTTTGATTTTTGGACCGGATGTCGCGAAATCAAAAGATGCGAGGAGAGTAAGAGAACCTTGAAAAATCCGTTTGCAACGCGCTTGGCCGAGTTCGATACCGCACTAAAACCTCTCAGCATTACAGATCAATGATATATTGCTCCGGTTGAGTTTTGATTTGGGCGAAATCAGGATTTTTTGTCGTTACTTTTATTGCCGTTGGCCGGAGGACCAAAAGCTGGGAAGCGCTTTGATGCCGATTGAAGGCTTATTTCTTCTGCCAGCTTCCCTACAAGCCAATGAATTGTGAAAGGATTACGTATATATGAAACAGCAACAATAGAGACTGTAAGAAAGAAACTATTGAGACATGGATGTGACTGAGGAGATCTTGTGGAAGCTTTGTGAAGCAGAATGTTTTGCAACGACGCGTTTGTAAACTTTAAAATTAACCATCCTACGGCCGACAAAATAAAACAAACAGGCGCTACATGTTTAGAAAAACTAGTGCAATAAAATCATAATATATTTTTGGACTAACCTTTGCGATAATTCATAGCGTTAAGATTGCATTTTTATTTATATCTTTCAAACGTTTGAGGCTAGAACGCGAGCAAATCAGGCAAATTTCACTGGACTTGGAGCGATTGACCTCTGACATGAGTTTCACATTAGAAAAGCTGTTTTTCAAACAAGCGGAACCAGATTTTCGGCTTGCGAGGCGGCCCCGCTAGCGAAAAAAATCGCAATGAGTCTTCGTGTAGCCTGCGTAGCAAGCGTTTCTGTACGGTTTAGGAGCAAAGAAAAAGGAACAAGAGTCAAAGACGGCGCGAAAAATGGCGCAAGAAAAGGACAGGGGAGGGGCTGGGGAAGAAAGGGAGGAAAGAAAAAAGGAAAGAAAGAAGGAAAGAAAGGTTTCCTTTTTTCCCCTCCCCCTCCCCCTCCCCATTCTTTAATTTTTTTGGTTCTCGTTTAATTTCTCGCGCGATCAAAACCGAAAATCCCCTTCCACGGTCTCTTTTTGCTCCGAAACCAAACGGAAACGCTTGCTACGCAGGCTAGTCTTCGTGCCGCCAGCCAAATTTTTAATAAGACGAAACACTTCTTCGAAAGTCTAAAATATTACTTGAGAATGTAAACAACAAATCTCCGTCGGCGGTGAGGTCCGGAAGGAAATCTTGTCGAGTCAACATGACAGTTCTATTGTCATTGAAGAAAAACACAGATGACGCTCGCGCGTGCGCACAGTCGTGACACTGTTACTTTAACCGGGTTAGTTTTTGAAAAACCCGGTAAAAAATTCTTTAGAGCGTAACCTGGTTAAAAGAGTTTAACCAGGTTAACTTATATCAGCGGCCGGACTCAATTTAGAATTTCACAAAGTCATTCAATGTCGCGCGGTTTTTTGTTTCTTCTTCCGCTCGCTAGAGTCACTCGTAACACTCGCCTACGAGTGACTGACAAAATTTGACCCCGTATTACCGAGAAAAAGAGGTCGACTTCTTAAAAGTCTTAACTCATTTGTGTTACTAAGAAAGAAATACTGAACTTGGAGCGAAATAACAATTTCAAAACTGTGCTTACGTGCATGGTAAAGCCAAAATTTGGATCATTCTCAAGCGTAGGTGGAGATGAAGGTTAACCTACGTTAAACTACCTCGCGAGGTGGTTTAAAAAAACCAAACCTGGTTAAGAAAATCTTTTGTTCTGCCTTGATTTGCATAACCCGGTTAGAACTCGGTTAAGACTGTAGAAAACCCGGCCGCACTCGCAGTTTTTTTAAACGAGTTGACTTTAATTAGTTAATTGGAAATAACTCGGTAAAGTCCCCAAGTGCGGCCGGAGCCAAAACTTCTGGGTTTACCAGTAATTGTGACAGCCGTTAAAGTTATATTTATTTATTCATTGACAAACTAGTAATCAAAAAGTAATAAACGTGAAATAAACTCACTCTTCTCCGTTTTTACGCGTCAAAACACCCAGCCCGTGTTTGAGGTTGCATTTCCATTGTCCCGTGTACACGTCGCCATTTTGATAGAGATACGTTCCTTCTCCGTGTCTGACACCAAGAAATGTTTGTCCTTCGTAACGCCTTACACGTTCAAAATCAGTCCCTCCAGAGACGCACAGGCCCATTTGTAAATGCTGTTGCTCTTTTTGACCTCCTTGTTTCTTTGCTTGGTTTTTCTTTTGAGGTGAGGCTACTTCCGCGTCGACTGCAAAACAGTCCGTATTTTTGCGTATTCAAGTACGCGCGAGCAGTCCAACAAAAGGTCTGGAACGAGGCTGAAAACAGAGAGCAAGACTGGGGAGAGACGCTAAAAATATACGGACTGTCCGTTATACGTTATATTTGTTCGAATTTAAATTAGGAATAGTCTATTTTGTTTTGTATTGTCGAGAGTTTTTAACATGAGCCTCTGACTCGGAAGATTGAGTAATCACTTCCTAAGTCTTCGACATTAAATAAATTATATCCTATCCTATCCTATCCTATCCTAGTAGTAAATGTGACTTTTAAAGTCCAAGTTACGTATGAATTAAAAACAAAGAAGCGTCATTTTTAGATGATTTAGAAGGGAAAAGGGAATGAATCATATTTTCTCCAAAAAAGAATCCTACAAAGGGTTGCACTTGAAAAAAAATTCCCTCATAGCCAATCGGCCATAAAAAATTCTTGCGTGGACGTAAAAATCCTCCACCCTTTTAATAACCCCCTCCCATCACTTTTCTAATGGTCCGTCCCGATAAATGGCAAATAGCCGAAATTTCGGTGTGCTGAAATGCAAAATATGGTTAGCCGTTTCCTCACGGTTCTCGGGGGTTGGTCAGCTGGAAAATAATGCAAGTAAAACTGTTATCCTTTTAATTCGCAGTAATGTTGCCTGCGTGCAGACGTGTAACTATTTCCTAAGAGACGTCTGCACGCAGGTAACTGTAATGCTCTTGACTTAATGTTTAACGATTTATCTTGGAAACTGTTCTGGCGCTCCTTGTCCTTCTTGAATTGAAAAAAGATAAAAATGTACAATTATTTGTTAAGCTGCATTCATTATTATGCCGTGTGGCAGCTTAGATTCAATAATAAAATGCAATCATCCCTAAATAGGTTAAATTTGGAGACTAGCAAAGAACAAGCCCAAGTGAAAAGAGGACAAACAAAGAAAAAGCCAACAAAAAGCCGGATGATAGCTACACATCTGGTGCTAAAATATATAGAATGGCCTGATCAGTTATTTTTAGCACCAAGCCTACCTCTGAAGAAAGGTCCACATATACAGCTATTTCGAGAAAGGTTGTCGGAAAAAGTGCACGCGGCAATCCCGAAAAGTATTGTGGTTGGTTTTGAGTTCACTCTTCTTCAAAGAAATTTGAAAGAATGGCACGAGAGGCCATGGGCGTATGTTTGTGAGTGCTAAAGGAAAACAACAAAAGTAGGTTTGACAGCAAAAGTGTCAGGGAACACTAGTGTATTGATCATATCCCATATTACCTTTCGGGATTGTCGCGTGCACATTTTTGACGACAACCTTTCTCGAAATAGCTTTATGTACATAACATTCAGTGAAATACAAATCTCTCCAAAAAAGGGAGATGGAAGTTAATTCACTTTTTTTAATTACTAAGGCCAAATTACCAGCTAGAGTATTGTATCAGTATTCATCAAGAGAAAAAAAAATGAACATAATATTCGTTATGCATCGGTTCAAAACTTTTCTTGGTTAAAGTTTATTTTCTTTACCAGGGAATGGAAAGGACTATGAAAATGAGTTTTTACAAAACTAAAGAAATATAATTTGAGATGTGCCTTTTTGCCTACTCCTCGGAAAGCTTCAGGTTCCGTACTGAAAACCATGTGGTCTTTTGACTCAAACATAAGCGTATTCTCAACCAGCTACCGATTGTAGCTTATCAGAAGGAAAGCTTTCGACAGACATTGTAGTCCTCGTCCGATATGCATAAATGACACCGCAATCGCAAGAAGTTTCTATCCTAAGAAACTCCATCCTTGATGTAAATCAAAAAAGGACCGAAAGGCTTTTTAAAGATTTCCTGCCAACGTGATGGGAATTTACATAATTGAACCGTGCTCGACAAGTAGTCAAGTATATCATTCTGATTACAGCGCAACTATAGGACTATAAAGCCAACAAACTGACTATTTCTAGACTGATCATTTTCACTCCTTCTAAGCTGCGAAAATTGATTGATGAGATACCGTATGATAATGATGACAATGATGATGATGATTATAAGGATGAAAACAATCCGTGACGTTATAAAAGCAGGATGAAAGTAAAGGTGACAAGGAGTATATAGATAGAGCTGGTTACTGTATAAATTAAAGGACATTGCTGTTTAGTGCATGAATAATGAAAACATCCTTTATTGAACTAGAAATTGTGTGGTGGTTTATCAAAAAATGCTACAAATACTTAATCTTTCAATGGCATCTAAAAAATTGGCATCCCTCCTTCCTGCCTTCAGAAATTTTTACCATCTCCCTTTTTTCCGCTTCAAAAAATTTTTAGACCGCCCCAAAAGATCCTCTGCCCCCCACCCCCTTGGTATATATAATGAATGCATTGCTGATTGCTATAAAATTTAAAAAGCAGCCAGGGGATCACATTCATAGTAGCCGTGGGAGATCCCCGGCCCCCGGCATGTTGCATGAAAACCTAGCTAAGGATGTGTAAGGCTTGTTTCAAACGTTGTGCTACTGCCGTGCTAAGCTGGCTCGACTATAGCTCGACTGGAGCACGACACTAGCACGACTTGGTTTCAGACGTCGAATTTAATTCAGTCGAATAGAACGCCTCTTGCCGAAAACAAAACACAAAAATAAAGAAACGGTTTAGCAAACTTTCAAATGTATTCTAATGTATTTATAATTCATGAATCGAGTTCGGCACGGCGGTAGCACGACGTTAGAAACCAAGTCGAGCTACTGCCGTGTATAGTAGCACGCCAAGGCTTGCCGCGCGTGCTACACGGCAGTAGCACGACTTGGTTTCAAACGTCGCGCTACTGCCGAGCTAAAGTCGAATTTAATTCGATCAATTGAGTTCGGCACGGCAGTAGCACGACGTTTGAAACGGGCCTAAAACAGTTAGTTAATGTAAGAATCCTTTTACTCCTCTGATTCTTCTCCTTCTGGAGAGTTATCTATGTGATCGCAATTACCGGGTGAAGATTGGGGACCTTGTCAGTTCAAGTAGGACTGTTAACCGAGGCTGTCCACAGGGATCCGCTCTAGGTCCCTTACTTTGGAATATATTCCAGAACGATTTGTCGTACTGTGTAACAACTTGTCTATGTACGCGGACGATCATCAGAACTATCACACAGGACGGGATCAGTCCTCTGTTATGTTAATGCTAAAGGAAAGTGCACAGCAAGCCACTAATTGGTACAACTCAAATCTTCTAGCCGGGAACTTGAAGAAATATCAAACCATGAACATCGGACAGGGCCAAAGCGATAATAACACCACTCAAGTGATCAGATTAAACAATCATGATATTAGCATAACTGACTCTCCCAAATTGTTGGGTGTCACAATAGATTCTAAGCTGAATTTTTCAGAGCACATGAACATGATCTGTAAAATTGCCGGTCAGAAAATTGGTGTCCGTATGAGACTTAGAAACTTGATTCCGACAAACTCTAAACTTATGCTTTTTAAAACAGCAATATTGCCGCACCTTACATATTGCCACCTTGTGTGGCACTTTTGCCGAGCCAGTGATTCTCGTAAAATCGAGCGGATGCAAGAAAGGGGCCAGCGTGCCGTTTTTAGGAACAATGTTAGCTACCCTGAACTTCTAAAAAGAGCAGAACTGCCAAAACTACAGAACAGGAGACTTCAAGACATTTGTGTTTTAATGTATAAAGCCAAGAACAATCAATGTCCCCCTTATATCAGTGACATTTTTATTAAGCATAGATCCAAGTATAACTTAAGGCAGTCTTATTTCTCCGCTGCCAGGTACAACACGGTAACATATGGCAAGCACTCCCTCCGCCACTTGGGGCCCAATCTCTGGGGAAAATTATCCCCAGACTTGAGAGAATTTACCAACTTAAAATGTTTCAAAAACAAAACACGTACATTAGATATAGTTACACTAGTAGATAATGGATGCAAGTGTTGTCATCTCTGCAATTCATAGACATATTTGTCATACTGTAAATATTGTTAATGTCATTAATTTTTTTCACCTGCGCTTATATGTAAATATTTTTTACTTTAACCCCTAATTAGCATAGGTTTTTAACCTAAGCTAAGAGGCTTCTTTAGACACCTTAATAAATTTTCATCACCATCATCATCACCATCATCATCACAACAATAGGGCCATTTATACGAGGAAAAATAAGACGCGTCTTACATGGGACGCGCCTTAAATAAGACGCGAACTTTCCGCATAAACGGCACATTTCATCTAAAATAAGACGCGTCTTGTTTTAGAACAGCCCTTAACACCTGTTCTTAGATAAGACGCGTCTTAGCTAAGACGAGAAAAAACTTCGTATAAATGACCTTCGTGTCTTAAATAAGACGCGAACGCATAGTACGCATGCGTTAATTTTTGGCGCGCTACGTTGGATTGGAGTTGCTACGGGCAACATTCACATGAAAACGAGTCAAGAACAGAAATAAGACGCGAACCATTCATACGAGCTGCTCTCGTCTTAGATAAGACATGCTCGTATAAATGGTACAGTTCACGTCTTATTTTTCCTCGTATAAATGGCCCTAATGAGCGTCCTTTGCTCTCTTTTTCGCGATTGAACCAGCAAAAGCGCGACCAAGCCGTAGGATCAGGGCGGATAAAGGTTGGGCGGTGAAACGAGCGCTCCGCTCTTCATTTAATGTGTGATGCGGAGTAGGACTGGCACGAGCGCTCTTTCCGCGCTTCCGGTGCGCTTGAAGGCCGGCGAAATTTTTCTTTTTGCGAACCGGAAATCCTATTTTCTTTCTGTAATTTCAGGGTACAATGTTAAATAGATAAATTCGTTTCATAATATTATCAATAAACAGTTTCATATGTTTGTGTCTGTACGTCTATAAGTTAAACTTGTTTGTGGTATAATGCCAAAATTTGAGTTTAATTTGAAAGTGTTGAATACCTCCTCCTTCCACTAAATATCACCTAATCGTCTTTGGCCGTTTCGTTTGCAAAAGCTTAACACTTCTTAACCTCAATTTTTACATATGTTAAAGGGGGATAAATTTTGTATAACATAACAAAAAAT